TCCATGTGTAGACCAGTTTCCCTGTTCAGTAGCTCCCTGCCAACTGTCATTTCTCACTGCTGCTGAGTAATCCCACTCTTTTCTCCCTCCTACTAATTTACTGTAATCTTAGGATGCATGGGCTTCTTAAAAAGATGTGCAAACTAAGAGTGTGTGGGCTCTGAGGGACAGCGTAAGGGGTTTTCCTTGGTAGAAACAGGGAAAGCTTTCCCATGCACATGGGTTTGGGCTGCTCAAGGGGCCTATTTGTCGGGGGTGAAGAGTTTGGTCTTTGCAATCAGACAGGGCTGGGTGGGAATCCTGGCTCCATCACTTGCTGGCTCTGTGACCTTAATCTTTGGTTTCCTCATTTCTAAAAGTGAGATAATGTTTGGTCAGGATTCAATTCCTGGAACATAGTAGCTGCTGAATAAATACAAAGAGGTGATAATTATTCCAATCTGTGAGAAGCTAGCTTCCGATGACTTCTCAGATGTTTACAAACACATGATCTTTTGCTCCCAGGGATAATTCCCTGATCCTCTGTACAAAAATCAAATGTGTCCTGTCAGTGGGAAGGGCTCATGTTACCTATTTCCCAGTACACTAGAACATGTTTTTTTCTGAACCAAATGGCAGGGGCTCCTAAGGAACTGATACTGAGGGCAGTGGTGGTTGAGCAGTAGAATTCTCATCTTCCATGGTGGAGACCTAGGTTCGATTCCCAGCCAAGGCATCTCCTGCTCAGCCACCCTCATCTGTCAGTGGAGACGTGTGGGCTGAACACGTTCCAGTGGAGCTTCCAGATTAAATGGACTAGGAAGAAAGGCCTGGCAATCTGACAGCCAGTCAATGCAAAGTCTGTGGATGACAATGGTCTGATGGGTTATGCGTGAGTTCGCCATGAGTTGGGGCTACCTCAACAGCTGCTAAGAGCAAGGACTAAGTAAAGCACGCATTTCCTCTCAATGGAACCAAAGCCTTGAATAGCTTTGGAAATTCAAACTGGAAGGAAGTAGTCAACCCTGTGAACCGTCAGTGCATGGATTTTCAAAAATGGTATTGCACAGAATCTCCTAAGTTCCACAGGAAAGAAGCAAAGTTGACAAAGGCACTAACACCCTGAGGGCCTGCCTTGCTCTGAGCCCTTCCATATTTTATTCAACCTCTGTGACACAGATACTATCTATATTTCCCAAAAAAGGAAAACTGAGGCTGAGAGTGATTAAGCATCTTGTCCAGAATTTGAATCCCATTACTGTCACCAATTCTTTCTGTCACCCCCCACAGCAGATAGCAAACTGGAAGCTGGGCTGAATTCATATCTACCCTGTAGCCCGACGGTGGAACACCAACTTGATAAGGTCTTTTTGCTGATAGTTTTATAGGTCATGGGCTTTGGGTCAGATCTGGGTTGTGCTCCTGGGTTAACTGCTAACTTGCTGTGCAACTTTGGGCAAGCTGCTTCCCTTGTCTGGGCCACAGTTTTGTCATCTGGGAAGTCTTCTGAGATTTTCAAACAATAATTCTCCCCCCCCCCTTTTATTTATTGTGATTTGGGTAAAGATTTACAGAGAAAATTCACTTTCCATACAGCAGTTCACATATACTTTGTCTCATGTCATTGACCACAGTTTACCACAGTGCAACATCTCTCCTTCTAATTCCTCCCCATAGTTATCTCTTCCCAGTGTCCATCCCTCCATACACTCCTGCCTCCTGAGCTGTCTCCCTGTGCATAAGCAGCCCTTCTTTCTCCCATGATTGATCTCTCCAAGGAGTATATCTACTTGAGGTAAATGTTCAACTCAGATGCTTGTATTTCATTTGGCTGGAAACCACAGGTGTGGGTTCAATTCCAGACCTGAAGGGCAGCTAGGGGTCATAGTCTCAGTGGTTCCACCAGACTCTATCGGACCAGCAAACCTGGTCCCCACCTTTTTTTTTTTTTTTTCCTCCAAATGATTTTGAGGTTTGTTCCACATTGTTCTCCCTCTCTATCAAGGATCTCCTACATAGATCTCCTTCCAAGTGGATGACAGTGGTAGCCGGGCACCATCTAGTTCTGGTCTTATAGTTGTATAGACTGTAGATCGGATGGTGTACCACTTGCTAGGACTAATTGTTTCCATGAATTTTAGTTTTCTTCATTCTTCTTTGCTCTGGACAAGGAGAGACTCATCGTTGCATCTAGATGGCAGCTTGCTAGATTTTAAAATCCCAGTGGCTACTTGCCAAAGTAGGAGGTGGAACAATGTTTTATATAGTATGTTATGCGAATTGAGCATTGAGCTTGATGTCTCCTGCGACTATGGTCCCAAGCCTGCAGGTTCAACTACTCGGTTCCTCTGGGTAGTTGGCTGTGACCAAGCAGTGACCACAACCTTGCCCCTTGTCAGCTCTACTATACACTTGGGAATTCTGATCATTCACATAAACTTATAGGACCATTGTCTGCCAACCCTATATATGTTCTTGGATACACTCCTCATTTCATAGACATACCTAATCATTTAGCCTGTCCACCCATCTATCCATCCATATACCCATGTTTGCCTTCACTGACAACGCAGTACTGTATGTGCAAAAGGGTTCATATTTGTTGTCTGTACCTCCCATGTACCTCTCTCTGTCTTTCTCATTCTCAATGCTGCCATATTGGTCACTCACATTTGGTACATTGCCCTTCTCTTCACCCAAATCAATACTTATCTCTATCTATCTAACAGCATTCCCTCCCCTACCCTCCCACCCCTGGTAACCAACAAAGAAAATTTCCTTCAATAGATAAACCTTTCCTTAACTTTTACAATAATGGACTAATACAATATTTGTCCTTTTGTGATTGACTTATTTCACTCAGCATAATGTCCTCTAAGTTCATCCACGTTATGCGGTGTTTTGCAGATTCTACATTATTCTTTAGTGTTAAATAGTATTTCATTGTGTGTATGTACCATAATTTGGATATCCATTCCTCAGTTGATGGTGAAACAATAATTCTTTATGCTGTATGCAAAGCCATTAGTGGTCGCAAAGGGACACATGGCTTTGGACCTGGGCAATCTGTATCGAAACTCAGCTTTCTTGCTCATTCTGTGTTCTAGGATATTTCTGAGTCTAGTTACTTCATTAAAGTTTACAAGAGAGTAACAGGAAGAAAAGCAGGAACTCAACCACTATTTTTCTGATTGAAGAGCTGTTTTTGGCTCATCACAGATAGAACAGTACTAGAACAAGCCATGTGTAGAACATAAGGTAAAACTTGAGTTCCACATGTGTAGAATATGGTCTGGTGTCACACACACACTGCACATATGTGTTGCCAGGCCTGTAGACACATCTGACTTAGGGTAGTGCATCACCCAGTTTTCAGAATAGGTGGGAACTAGCACATGGCAGTCAGTTGATTCCATCTGTTCCACTGCCTATCATTTCTGGGTACAGTTGGAATAAGTTTGGAAAATGCAGACCCAGACCTTCACAGTAGCCTGTTTCCTGGCTGGTCTACCAGCCTCTGGTGTCCCATTCATGCTGAATGCATCTCACCACTGGCCCCCCATTTCTCTGGGAAGAAGCCCAAGCTTCTTACTCACAGCTCCCTTTCTCATCCCACCACTCCTGCCTTGACCTTTATGCTCTAGAAACCTTACCCACTCAGGGTTACTCCCGTCATAGCAGGCTACTTCTCCCCTCCATGCATTTGCTCATGCTTGACCCTCTGACCACATTAGCAAAATCTTATCCATCATTTAAGATAGATCAGGGTCATCTCTGGGAATTCTCTCCTCTGAGCTGTCATAATGACCTATGTGTTATCTCACAAGGATGCACTGGATCACAGTTATTTATTCATATTTCTGTCTTCCCAGCTAGAGTTTGACTTTCTCTGTTGTTGTTGTTATGTGCTGTGGAGTCAAACTCAACTCACAGCAACTCCTCTTTGGATTTCCAAGGCAGTATCACTATGGAAGTAGATTGATAGCTCAACCTTCCTTTTGAGGAGTGGCTGGTGGGTTTAAACCACCAGCCTTCTGGTTAGCAGTCAAGTGCCTTAGGCACTACGCTACCTGAGCTCCTGACTTTCTCTAGAGCATAAGTTAGTCATGGCTAGTTCACTACCAAATCCCAAACACTTAAATAGTGCCTGACACTGACTAGGTGTTCAATCAGTGTTTGTTGAATGACTGACTGAATGAATGTATGAATCATTTTATCCCCTGGGTCCCACCCCATGCCTGGCACATAAGATAGTCAATGCATGCTTGTTGAATTGAACTGAGCCAATCTGACAGCCATTCCTCCCAACACTCTGCTTCATTTCAAGGGACTGCAGTCCTACTTGATGGAGCTCTCAGAAAAACCAGCGGTCAGCACAGAAGCTGCTGCCCCTTTGCAAAGTGTAGCTTGTTGAAAGAGATGGCTACGCTCAACTTGCACTCGGTCACCTTAGCTGCTGATATGCATTATCTGTCTAAACTCAAGTATGCTCCTAAACTCTAACAGCCTCTTGTTATTGATCAGAAAATGTGAACTTGACTGCAACTCTCTATCAGACTCTATGACACTGAGATCCTAAACTAGACTAGTCCCAAGATCACATTCCATTTTTGATCTCCGAGCTGCTTTTTTTTTTTTTTTTGGAATTCAGCAAGTCTATCTATCTGTCTGTTACTGGCAAGATGATGTGGAAGGATGATCTTGCCAGGAGACTAGTTCCAGGTATCAACCCCACTGATTAGATTTTCTATAAGGTATGTTCCAGAAAGTTCTCTCCCAGCCCTCCTTAGGTCCCCATCAGCATGTTTCCTCTAATCTAGCCCTAATAATCCTCTGTGTGGTGAGAGGTTCCTAGCTCATCAGCCCCCTTGGAATTGGGCTTGGGTGGCAGATCTTCCTCTGGGAAACCTGGCTCCTGACCAGTCTTATCCATGGGCACTGCAAGCAACATGATTCAATTGGAGATGTGTGTAGTATAGATAATGGAAACAGCAAACTCCAAGCCAAGAAGCCCTCCTCACCTGACAGGGGCTCCCCGGGACTGAGCGGGCTTCAGCATCACCGTGATGGTTGTGTCTGTTTCATTCAGTGGGGTGTCGGTATCATACTCGGGCATCGATGGTGCTGGGAAGGCAACAGATGAGATAAGCGAAGCATAGGTCCCAAACCTCACTTACCATCTCCCTTTGATGCTATCCTTGAAGATACTAAGGATGACTAGAAGGATGAAGTTCAGAAAAGGAGTTAGGTAAGAATCATATGACATCCCAACTTTTCAGCCAAAAAGGCCTTGACTTCCAACCTGTCTGCAGTTCCTTTAAGGTGCAGTAGAGTCTAGGGAAGGGTGGCAATTAGGGGTTCAGTAACTCTCAGGAATCAAAAAGTTCCACACCAAATGAACAACAAAATGCAGGAAATATTACTACTTAGCAAAGATGTGAAGAAAGTGAAGTCGACTTGTTAAACACATTTAAAATGCAAATTAAAGCAATGATGAACTAGTTCCCCTCTACCCTTTTTACTTTTTTTTCATGAGCTCTCCTGTCTCATACCCAACTGGCAGAAGTATAACTAAATCTAATCCCTTTGGAAGGTAATTTAGCCACTTTTATTAAGCACTATTAAAACCTACATCCCACATGACTCAGTATTTCAATTTCTGGAATCCAATCCTAAAGTTATAATACAAACGAATGAACTGAATTTTATTCCTTAACTTGTTTATTGAAGCATAATTATATATATGTGTGTACATGTATGTGTGTATGTATATATATATGTCCATAAAATATGGATACAGCCAATATATCCAACCATCGGGGTATGTTTCATTAAATGATTGTCTATCCACTTGATGGAACATTATGATAAAGGCAATGTAGCAACATGGGAAATGCTTATTGCATAAAGGTCAATGAAAAAGTTCAGCTACAAAAAACACCATAGGTTTGTATCTATGCAAAATGCATATGCATGCAGACAGGAATTGCACAGGTACTTTGGAAAAAGAAAATGGCAGGAAAGGTTCTGAGATAATTCTGCTCAGATGCTATCAGGTGGTGGAGGTGGCCCTCCTGATGGCGACAGGTTGTAATCATGAGCACTGGGACTCTGTAACAGTCACTTAGTCATTAATCAGACATTTCATGAGACCTTGTGCTGTGTCCTGCCCTGCCAAAAGAAATATGACTGAAAAACAAATCACTTATTACAAGCCAATTTGTATGCAAAAAGAATGTACTATTTAATGCAACCCTGTGGCATATTATTTGGTGAGTCATACCAAATTAATATATTTTTTACATTTTCAGAAGTTCATAGATTAGGTTTTTTTTTTTTTTTTTATCCCCACACAGACTATGACGGTAGCACACTCGGGGTCTGAAACATCCCGATTGCTCCAAAAAGACCTACTAACAGTTGGTTTTACCCCTTTCTACCTCCCAGGAACAGGGATGGGAGCACCAAACAACACCAGGTCTCCCTGCCTTTTCCCTTGCTAAGAGAAATACCTGAAATTTTGGTGGCGATGCGAGTGGTGACGGGAGGCCCAAAGCCCTTTGCTGTGCTGGCCTTGATGGTGAAGGAGTAGGTGGTCCCCGGATACAGGCCCACAAAGAGGTGATGGGTCTCGTTGCGGAGCTTGAACACCTTCCCCCTCTGACTGGAGAGGTCGGCGCTCGGATCCAGTGAGCCCACCGCCTTGTAGTTGATCTGTACAACAAGCCAGCAGACAAATAGGTCAACACCTCGTTCAGGAAGCCGGGGGGAGCCTGCTTGGGGGCACATCAGAGGAAGAGAGAGAAGGCATGGGAGCTGCCAGTTTCTGACCACCTGCCAGATCATGCCCCAGAACCCTCCACTGCTGCCACTCTGGAGCCATGCTGTGCAATCGAAACAGTGTGAGCCACAGATGTAATTTCAAATTTCTCACAGCCACATTAAAAAAGTAAACAAGAAGGGAAGTTAATTTTAGTAATAATTTTTACTGAACCCAATATATCTAAAATATTATCATTCCAACATATAAAAATTTCACCCCTACTAGGTCTTTGCAATTCAGTGTGTATTTTACTCTTAGAACACATTTCAACATGGACTGATCATATTTCAAAAACATCGTAGCCCCATATGACTAGTGGTTACCAGATTAGCAGCACAGCATGTAGAAGTGACAAAGTGTGGCATCCTGCTTAAGATTTTTTGGAGGGCTTAATAAAAATGCAGACCCTGTGGCCGAGACTCCACAAAGACAGGAAGCATTTGCTGTCTGGCGCTTGCCTCATACATCATCTTGTTTCTCTTCCCAAAACCTTGGAGGCATCAGGATAGTTATTCCCATTTCACTGATGAAGAAACTGAGGCTCAACTGTGTGCAACTCACTCTAAATCACCACTTTTCAGACAATTAATGGTGAAGGCCCAGTTTTGTGTTTTCCAATCTATTCCAGACCAATAATAATATGAATACCACACCACAGGTGACTCATCCTGTGAGTTTGGCAATAACCAAACTGATTTATACTCTGTGCAATGAGATGAGACCACTGGCCATGCACTTGGGTATTAGGACAATGTCAGCTTGCTATGAACGTTGCTAAGTGGTTCCTCTTAATTCCTACGCTTATATTACTGGGAATAGTTAACAGTAAGTTGGCAAACTGGGACTGGTCTTAGTAGACTACACGTTGAGTACCACTTCTCTAAATTACAATGATGAAGTGACAAACATGGGATTTTTTTGTTTATCTCATCTGTTCCATCAGAAATGTGTTATTAAAAGATACATATATAAATAGCTACTTATATGTGTGTGTGTGTGTGTGTGTATGTATAAAGAAACAAACTCACTGCCATTGAGTCAGGTATGACTCATAGCAACCCCTCCTTGGGTTTCTGAGGTGGTATCACTATGGAAGTAGATTGCCCAACCTTCCTTCCAAAGAGTGGCTGGGGGGATTGAACCACCAGCCTTCTGGTTAGCAGTCAAATGCCTTAGGCACTACACCACCAGACTCCCTTTGTGTCTGTGTGTAAATGGAGCTCTGGTGGCACAGTGTATAAGGCATATTTGGCTGCTAACCAAAGGTCAGTAGTTCAAACCCACCAGCTGCTCCATGGAAAGAAGATGAGGAAATCTACTTTGGTGAAGTTTTACAGCCTTGGAAACCTAAGGGGGGTTCCTATGAGTCAGAATCAACTCAATGGCTGTGGGCTTAGTAGCCCCCCATATGTATAAAATATAAAATACATATGCAGAAAAGCGCACAGCTTGATGAATTTTCAAAAACTGGACCGAACCACATAACCATCACCAAATTAAGAAACAGAACATTACTAGACCCTAGACTTTTCCTTTATGCCCTCTTCTAGTCCCTACTACTCCTCTCCCCCAGGAAAACCTCTATCTTCACTTCTAGCAGCATCAACCAGTTTTGCCTGTTTTCGAACTTCACATAAATCGAATCAGACACTCCATACTCCTGTATGTCTGGCTTCCTTGCTCAACAGTCTATTGGTGAGGTTCATCCTGGATATCATGTGTAGTTGTAGATCCTGCATTCTCATTGGTGTTCATGATCCCTCTACAGACACAGGACTAAATCCAAGTCTGTCAGACTCTAAAGCCTGTGCTCTTTATTCTATACCATGCTGACTGGCCTCGGGACACATTCCATTAATTAAAGAACACATTCATTCATTTACTTATTTACTCATTCACATACGTTTCCTGTGTACCTCCTGTACCTCTGCACTGTGTGCTGCTGGGGGCCCCAAATGAATTCAAGCCAAGCCTTGTCCTCAAGTGGCTTCCATTCTAAACAGAAGTAAAACCATTACACATACAACTTATGCCTATTTTATGTTCCATCGAGAATGTCCCAGACTTGAGATGACAGCCTGATCCAGGCAGAAATGGAACACATCAAATTTACTTCAAAAATAAAATACTTTTCTGTTTCTGGCAATGATACCAAATGCTCTGAGGAAGAGATGATTTTTCTCCCCTTTACTAGGCAGTGGTGGTGGGCAGTGATTCATTCCATAGGTAGAGGTAACTTTCATGTTCTCAGCAGGGCTTCAAACAGGTTTGAACTGGTTTAGTTATGGTTGACACAGCAAATTCAGAACAGACCTGACTTTGTAAAATGTGGGTGTACCAGAATGGGACACGTTATGGTTTGAAGCCCTGAAATGGGAGACTTGGAAAAGGGCATAGTGAGCCCTTGCAGGAGCCTGATACAGAAGATAGGATTTCTGCCAGGAGTGTGTTACATTCAAAGCAGTGTGGTAGGCTGCCATCTTTGAGGAGGGCAGCACTGTTTCTGACTTTGCAGTTCACAGGATTTGCTTGCTTTGCCATGCACATATTGTCCTTGTTTTCTAAGAGAGAGATTAAATTTCTAAGTGGGAGTCAACTTGTAATCTTCCCCATTTCGGTTACTGTTCCAGGACACCCACATTTTACAAATTTGGGTCCATTCTGGTTTCACTTCATCAGCCATGACTGAATGGGGCAGAACCAGTTTGCAGCCCTGGTTCTTGGAAGAGAGAGACCAGACTTTGGTTGGAGCAAAGGAGGAGAAACTTCACAGAGCTAAAGGGTTTGGGAATTTTGCAAAAAGAGCCAGAGAATGCATATTCCTCCCACAGGTCCCTGGCAACTAGCTTTGAGTTGCTGTGTTGTGCTTTTCATAGTATTCCCTCTGGTCTACCCTGCTCACCACAAACCTTCCCAGAGGCAAGCACTGCAAGACTCCACCATTCTTTGCTTGAGAGCTTTCTCCATGGATGCATAGCCTGAAGGGCTGGGCAGTCAGCACACAGCCCCCAGCAACCCTCAACCACCTACTGATATGTACATTCCCAGGCCCTCTCTCACATGGCAGCCCTATAGTTGTCCTATACGGCTATTCAGTTTCCTTGGGGATTCAATTCCATTTGCTTCCACCATAGGTACCAAATAAAACTAAAGCAGTTGCTGTCAGTTGATCCTAACTCATGGTGACCCCAATTGTCACAGTAGAATTGTGCTCCATATGGTTTTCAATGGCTGATGTTTTGGAAGTAGATCACCAAGGCTGTCTTCTGAAGTACCTTAGGGTTGCTTTAGCCCACCAGATTTTCAGTTAGCATCCAAGTGCTATAACTGTTTCCATGACCCAGGGACTCTCCTCCAATGGTAGCTGGCTTGAAAACACACTCATTATTGGCTAACAAATGTCCTATTTCTTTCTCACACCCTCCCCTGTTGCTGGCATTTCCTGTATTGGTGGTGTTAAGTGCCATCAAATCAGTTCTGACTCACAGCCATCCTATGTACAATAGAATGAAACACTGCCCAGTCCTGTGGCTTCCCCACAATAGTTGCTATGTTTGAGCCATTGTTGCAGACCAGCCACTGTGTCAATCCTTCTTGTTAAGGGTCTTCGTCTTTTTCATTGATGCTTTACTTTACCAAGGATGATGTCCTTCTTCAAGGACTGATCCCTCCTGATAATATATCTAAAGTATATGAGATGAAGTTTTGCCATCTTTGCTTCTAAGGAGCTTCTGACTGTACTTCTTTCAAGACAGATTTGTTCATTCTTCTCGCAGTCAATGATATATTTCATATTACTCTCCAACACCATAATTCAATGGCATCAATTCTTCTTTGGTCTTCCTTATTCATTTTCCAGCTTTTGCATGAATACAAGGTGACTGAAAACATCATGGCTTGGGTCTGGTACCTTGTAGTCTTTAGAGGGACCTCTTTGCTTTTTAATACTTTAAAGAGGTCTTTTGTAGTAGATATGACTATATTTTCAATTGTCTCATATGCATGTGAAAGCTGGACAATGAATAAGGAAGACTGAAGAAGAGTTGATGCTTTTGAGTTGTGGTGTTGACAAAGAATACTGAGCATACTGTGGATTGCTAAAAAACTAACAAATCTGTCCTGGAAGAAGTGCAGCCAGAATGCTCCTTGCAAGCAAGAATGGCCAGACTTCATCTCACTTACTTTGATCATGTTTTCAGAAGGGACCATTCCCTGGAGAAGGATATCATGCTTGGTAAAGTGGAGGGTCAACAAAAAAGGGGAAGGCCCTCAATAAGATGGATTGACACAGTGGCTGCAACGATGGGTTCAGGTATAGCAAGGATTGTGAGGCTGGCACAGGATCAGGGAGTGTTTCCTTCTGTTGTACATAGGGTGGCCATGAGCCAGAGATGACTCGAGTGCACATAACAACAACTTGACTGTTGCAATACATCATTTGATTTCTTGACTGCTGTTTCCATGGGCATTGATAGTGGATCAAACTAAAATGAAATCCTTGACAACTTCATTGCTTGTCAAATAACCTGCTTATATTTGAACCCTTGTCTCTGTGTATGCTTTTGAGGAGCCCACAACTGAAAGAGTGATCAGGAAGGCATCTCAGGGGACAAATGAACTATCACAGAGATAGATGATGCAGAGTCAGTGCAAAGAACAGAATATTCCAGGCAGAGCAAACTGCCTGGGTAAAGGATTGGTGTGGAGAAGGCTTGGAAGAACCAAGAACAATCCATGTGATTAGAGTTGTTGAGCAAATAGAGTGAGTGCAACTTTTGTAGTGGGGCTGGGATTCCAGTTTTCCCTAGTGGCAGGGGAAGGGAGACACTCAAAGAGCTCTGCTTGCAACCACAAAGCCCAGAGCACCAGTGGAGATGTGTCTGTGCATCCC